CTCCTCATTATCTCTCCCTCCTCCCCTCTCCCCTCACCTCTCCCTCCTCCCCATCCCTCCTCCTCATTATCTCTCCCTCCTCCCCTCTCCCCTCAGCTCCTCATCCTCACCATCCCTCCTCCTCCTTGTCATCTCTCCCTCCTCCCCTCTCTCCTCAGCCCCCCATCTCCCCTCTTCCTCCCCACCCTGTGTGTCCTGCTCCTCAGAGCACCGGCCTCAGCTCCATGTCACCCCTGAGGGCAGGGATCATCAGATGGTCTGCCCATGGCTGTTGCCCAGCCCCCAGTACAGGCTGGTAAACAGATGAGGCACTGTCCATAGGTGGCTGGGTGTGGTCAGCCTCAAGACCCCACTGGCAGCCCTGCAGTGGCTTGGTGGCTGGTGCCTGACCTGGCTCTCACCTGGGCATTATCCAGAAGCTGACGATGCAGGACCCGGTCCAGCGGAGCAATGCCAATGGCCACCACTCGGATCTTGGCGGATGTGCTGGCCAGTGAGTGGTCACGCACGGCCTGCCCCACGTGCCGGGCAAGTCCCACTCGGAGTGCGCTGGTGAGGATCCAGGCCCCTGGGAGACAGTGGTGGGCTTGAGGCACGTTTCCAAGCAGCCCGCTCCCTGGGGCAGCAAATAGCATGGGTGGGGAAACTGAGGCCTCTGCTTAGGGTCACAGCTCTGGATGGTCAGGGCTCAGGTGCCCCTGCCCATGGAATGTCCAAGGTGTCCCGGGGGGCTCTGAGAAAGCGGCTGGCCCCATTGGGCTCACAGATTGTAGAGGGACTTGGGAACCTTCCTCTGTACTCTGACAATCTTTCCAGCTACAGGATTCTGCCCCAAGGGAAGAGGGCAAGGGTCCTGCACATGCTCCCTCTGTGTTGGGAGCTGGGCAGATGATAGGGACAGTTCCCCAAGTCTGGGGACTCCCCCTGAGTGGGGGGGCAGCCCTGTGCTTGTAGGTACCCTCAGATCTGCTCTGTGTCACACCCCTAGGACTCCTGGTGCAAATGCACCCATGCACCAGCCTGTGCCCTTAGCTCTCCGTGCCCACACCTCCCCGTGCCTTCACCTCCCGTGCCCACACCTCCCCATGCCCGTACCTCCTGTGTCTGTTGCACACGCACACACACACCTAGGCACAGACCCACCCACTCACTCACGTTTGCACCCACACGCACCCATCTACACTGCCGGGGCATGCGCCTACCCACGTACCCACACTCCCATCCAGCCATGCCTCCTGCCCTCCGGGGCAGGAACTCACACACCCGCCCACCCGCAGGCCTTGCAGGGAGCGGTGGACCAGGAGTCAGCTCCTGGGGGGTCCTCCTCTTGTGCACCCCCACCTGTGCTCTGTGCAGCTTTCACCAGCCCCTTGCGCAAGATGTCCCGTAACCAGGGCTTCATAGCGAAAGGCCGCTCCTCACCCACCAGGGACACCACCAGGTTGGGGGCCGGCAGGTGCCACTCGGCCAGCATGAGGTCAAAGAGGACAGCAGGGGCCACATCACTGGGCACCTTAACAAACTGTGGGAAGGGTAAGACTGGGCAGGTTTGAGGCTGCCAGGCACATAGGGGGGTGACCACTGGGCACCAGAGACAGCAAGGAATTGGGGATGGGCAGCTGGAGGGACTGGGCATTGTAGGGCAGGCACTGGGGGGAGCAATGGGCATGGTGGGTGGATACCAGGAGGAAAGAGCCCCCAAGATTTGGACTAGAGTCTCAGGTAGCCCTGGCAGTCCCCACCCCCTCGAGGGCCACGCCACCTTCTCAGTGACCCAAGGGGCTGAATAGAAGAGGAACCCTAGCCATCCTTGTGTAGGACCACCTGGGCTGGCTTCCCCCGCTCCCCTGACCACTTAGGTGGATCCTCTAAGCCAGGCAGCATGGGGGTAAGGTTGCGATAGGGAGACACTCCCAAACCCTGACCTTTGGGGCTCTGAGTAGCTGAGTCCACCTGGGTGAGCAGGCACCGGGTGGGCAGTTTTCAGGGCCGGAAGTGAGGGCTGAGTGATTCAAGGGCCTGGTGGTCACCAAGACCTGGGGTACTGGACTGGGGCGGGGGTCACCTTACCAGGGCTGCCCTTACCTTGCCACGTTTTTTCCCAGATCCACCGAAGTCCAGCTCGCCCCGGCACAGGCTTGGCCCACTGCCATCTTCGGGGTCCTGGGGGCTGCCAGCACAGGGGCCCTGGGAATCTTGCATGGGGGCTTCTCTGAAGAACAGAGGGGAGCCCTGAGGGTGGAGGGGGGCCCAGCCGACATGGCCGAGCTCCACCGTTCCAGATTCCTTCCCAGCCTCAGGCCCTCACCTGCCCTTCTGAGGCTGGGGAGAGGTCACCGGGAGCTCTGACTTGCTTGGGGTTGGCGGTGGAGCCCCCTCCCCTGGCCCCTGCTGCCTCTGGGCTCCTGCCCCACACTCACCGTGCCAGGGGTGCCTTTGACAGTTCACTCCTCCACTGGCTGCTTTTGCACAGGCTGTCCTGGAGACCCCGAAAGACAGCCTAGGGCTCACAGCCTTCCTGCCCCTACAGCCCACCCCAGCCGGAACCCCCTCTAGTCCCCTGGACAGTGACGGGCCGCCCTGGGCAGAGGAGAGAGGGGTGAGATGCAACACCAGTGTGCACTGCCTGAGGTTCACACAGTCACCCTCACAGACCAGCCCAGTTACCTAGGGGTTCCCAAGTGTCCAGTAGGGGCAAGTTCAGTGTCCCCTGTTTCCAGCTGTCCCCTGGACAGAGCCACCTACCCTCTCATTGTCCCATAGGGTTTCCGAGGCTGAAAAGCTTTACAGGGGCAGACAGCCTCGTCTTTCTCCCAAGGAGCAGCTGGAGGGTTTGAACCACTGACCTTGTGGTTAGCAAGGCTTAGCCCACTGTACAACCAGAGCTCTTTAAATGAGGGAGAAGAGGCTAGTTACCCCTCGTCCAGGATGACCTGCTGATAGCCAGCGTTGGGGGGATACGAACCCATTTATACAGGTGGGGTAGGGAGAGGGGGGCTTAGAAGCCAGGATGGACAGACTTCGCCTCTCATATTTCAGACATTATTAGTAGGGGTCAGTCCCTGGAGGACATTATGCTTGGTAAAATGGAGGGTCAGCAAAACAGAGGAGACCCCCAGCGAGATGGATTGGTGGAGTGGCAGCAGCTATGGGCTCAAGTGTGACATCGATCTGAGGAGGTCGTAGAACCGGGTGGTGTTCCATTGTGTTGTACACAGGGTCACTATGAGTTGGAACCAACTCAACAGCACCTCCCAGACGCCTGGCCCCCCTGGCCTCTCTCCATCCCTTCCCTCTGAGATCTCAGTGGTGGGAGAGAGACTGCACCTGCTTCTGCACCCCCCCCACCCCAAAGAACCAAGCACAGTCCCAGAGCCCAGCCTGGAACCCCAAGTCCCAGCCTAGCCTGGACCAAGATGGTTCTGTGAGAGCCATGAACCCAGGAGGACCTAGGCTTTCAGGACTCCTGAGTTCAGCATCTCCGGGGGTGTGTGGGGGGCATGGGCAGGCCCGCACTCCCATCGTGCTGAGTAGGTTTTGGTTCTCCCAGGTCTGCCCCACCCACCCTCTTACTGCCCCAGGTGTGTAGGGAGTGTCTTTGTGAGCTTTCTGGGTCCCCATTCTTAAAGCCTCTTTGTTCCTTACCTGGGCCCACCTGTGCTCCGGAGGGCAGGGCTCTGACGCAGAGGGTCTCCGTGTAGTATACCAACCTGGCCCCCTCTCTCTGGTCCCTGCTGCCTCCTTGGCAGGTCACCCTGATGCTCTAGGCACCCTTGAAGATCCCCCCACCCAGGGAGGGGATGTAAATTCCACAGGCCCTTTCCCCTCCCACAATGAGGAAGGAACTCAGGTGGATCCTCCCACCCCAGGAGTGGAATTTGAATATGGCCTCCTAAACTGACAGGAATTTGCCTGCTGGTTTTCAATACTGGAGGTCAGCTGGTGACCAACCTTGGGGGATGGGGGTAGAGTGGGCTGGTGGCCTGGACACAGCCCTTGCCACAGCTGGACAATTGCTCGGTTAGTGAGGGGGCTGGTGAGTGGGGGTGTCCCTCTATCCAGGGTGTGGTGGACCCGGGCCCAGCCATGACTGGGGCTGACCAGGATGACCGCTAGCCCCCTCACCTCCTGCCTGACTTTCTGAGGAGGTGCCCAATTCCCCTCCAGACCTTGGTGTGAGCACTCAACTCTACCCCACCCCATGGGAGGCTCCCCTAGGCAGTTATTGGGTCCTCCCTCCTAGGGCACTAGTGGGTGTCCTGGACCCCTGAAACTGGGGAGGGCATGCTGAGCAGGAGTGTTGAGGACCAGCCTCCTGCCCCATGAGTCTACTGCAGTGCCCCCACCCCACCCAGGGCCCACCCAGCCCCAACCTCTGAGGGCAACATTAGCTAGCTGTCCACCTGTGATGTCCAGGCAGCCCTGAGAAGATCCAGCCCCAGTCCCCCTCTTCTTCCTTTCCCAGAGTCGAGGGGCATGGGAACCATGCCAGACGTCTGGTAGATAGGGCCACCAGGAATGGGGCAGGCAAATAGGGGGATTTGCATGAGCAGGTGCCTGGGTATTTAACCACCCCCACCCTGGGTGTTATTTAAAGTCGGGGACCAAGGGGTCCTCTTATACAACCCCTCGGAGGGGGCATAAGCAAAGCCCAGGCCATCACAGAAGGGGCTTGGAGCTGACACATCATAGCTTAGGGCCTGACGCAGGGCCGAGGCAGCCGGACTGTGCAGACCCAGGGCCCAGCCCCCAAGCCCCTCCTGGCTGTGGGTCCAGACTAGGCCCTACTCCCTGGGCCTCTGTCCTCTCTGTCTATGTGGATGGTACAAGATCAGGTCCTGCACATAGCAGGCACAATGTCAGGTGTCTCCCCTACCCCCAGACTCAGGTTCTCCCTGGGGCCGTGTGGGCCAGGATCAGGTGCTGCCTAGCAGCTGCTGGGGTCAGGGAGGGCATGTCCAGAATGCGGCCACCACGTCCCTCCTTCCTGAACCCCACACACTCTGATTCACCCAGCACCCAGCTTTGGATCCTCCCCTCCTACCCAGGCTGCTTGGGGAGGCATTGCCCCAAGATTTTGAAACCAAGTCCACAGGGTTACCCCTCCCCATGCCCACCACCACACTTTGGATCTGAGGCAAAGGGGCAGCCTGTCTCCAAGGTCCCCATATAAGAAACTTCCTCCCAAATGCAACCCTGAGAATATGGGACTCCCCTATTGCCAGAGATCCTAAGATGAGGCCAGGACCCACGGTCCCTATCCCTCCGTGCCTCCCCTCCTGACCCCCAGCCTTCCCGGCCCAGGACCATATGGGTATTCCTGTTCCCAACCTGGGTGTGCCTACCTGTCCTCCTCCCCTGTCCACTGCTCCTCCTCTGACACCACCTCCCCTCCCACCACACCCAGCACCTACGCAGTCACGTGGGCTCCTGGGAGTGCAGGGACCCAGCCTTCCTGCCGAGGGCTGTCTCTTTCCACCTGATGACCCCAGCTGGCCTGGTGCTCAGCGGTAACCCTACTTGCGGTCAGTCCCTACCCCTCTGAGGTCAAGCCTAGGTGTGGCCTGTCAGTGACACACCCTCACCTGGGTTTGGACAAGGCCCAGCCTGATTCTCCAGCAGAGAACAGAGGCTGCCCCCAGGTTTATCGGGGAGGGGACACTAGACTGATGAGGTCTGCTCTGGGAACTGTGGGCCCACACCAGCCAAGCAGGGGCAGGCCCCATGGCGTTTCTTCTTGGGGGGGTAGACTGTGAGTGCTGTATTGGCACTGCCACCCTCCTCCAGCTGGCTAGGTCCATGGAGGTGACCTGTGGGGCCCAACATTCTGAGCTCACACGCCCATGTCCCTTCCTCTATTAAATGGGATCCTAATAGCCTGACTTCCAGGTTGTGGGGATTCCGTGGGTTACATAAAGAATGCAGAGCCTGGAAAATGTTCTGTACCCCCTTTTGCAAGGAGATTTTAAGGAGATGCCTGCCCTGGGACCCCTTGTACCCTGAGCTCCCCAGACAATTGGACACCGGGACCCCTGCAGTGTAGCCCAGTGACCACTGGAGGGCGCCAAAGCGCCATCATTGGGCGGTCATCCACTCTTGAGACGAAGAGACTGGTCTGAACCAAGGCACCAGGTAACTAACTACACTCCAGGGCAGAGACCCCCTAAGTCCGGGCCTGAGCCCTGGGAGGACATGAGGATCAGTGCCCCCTTGTCCAGATACGAGTGGATGCCGGTGGTGACTATGAGCATCTTGTGGCCCAGTTCATGGCTGAGTCACACAGCCAGCCTCGAACATCCTATCTGGTCCCATACCTACCACTCGGGCTGTGTTGTGGGGCCGCTGGTGTCCTGTGGACACACACAGACCTCCCTTCCCTTCTCGCCCTGCTGTCTCAGTCCTGCCCCCACCCCCACCTTCTAAAGACCACTCCTGACCCCAGTGCAGTGCCAAGCCAGTTCCTTCCCTGCTTAGAAGCCTCCATGGTTCCTTTTCACACTGACAATCAAACCCTAGCATGAGCCCGCAAGGCCTGTGCCCATCACCCACCTCCCTGTTCTCCAGCTTCCTGCCTTTGCTCCTGCCTCCGGCCGGCTGGCACCATTCCATTCCCTGGCCAGTACAGCAGCTCAGGGCTGCCCCTCAATCTGGTCACATGCCCAGGTCACTACACCACCTGCAATGCCCTGCTCAGTTCTTTGTTTGCTTCTCTGAGTCGGCTGCCCCTGAGGGTATGTTCACTGCTATCCAGCCCCCCAGGCCCAGCACACACCTGCAGTTGCTGAATGAATGAGTGAATAATTGTGACTGAATGAGTGAACCAGTGAGGAATCGAGAGTGAATGACTGAGTGAGTGTGTAAAGAGACAAGGGAATGGACACGGGAGTAGTGACGTGATGTAGCAACTGAGGAGCAAGTGAGTGAATGAATGAATGAGTGAGTGAGTGAATGATTGAAGGAGTATAAATGAGTCAGTGCATGAATGAGTGAATGAATGAATGAATTTTTCCATGAATGAATGAGTGAATGAATGAATGAATGAGGGAGGGAATGAATGATTGAAGGAGTATGAATGAGTGAGTGAATGAATGAGTGAGTGAATGACTGAATTTTTCCGTGAATGAGTGAGTGAACATTCCTGGGTGTGTTTCTGGGAGGCCAGGGACAGGGGTGTGGGGAAGCCTCCTTGTGCTGAGGTAGGC